TCAAAGGGGGAAAAGGCAGGAAATTCAAGACAGCAAATCAATTGCCAGATATTGATTATTATTGATTGGTTCTTAACCAAAGACAGAGTTGTCTCCTAAACTCCTGGGAGTGGGGATAGGAGTTCTTACCTTCATTTCAAACAAGTAACCACGTATGTGATCATTTCCTTAGTGGAGACTTGGAGGAGGTTGGTAGACAGAGGAGACATAGGGATATGTCACATTTTCAAGACTGACCCAAACGATGACATCAAGACCAGGGGTCTGGAACAATCACAAGCCCAAACCATAAGGTTGGATTATCAGTGACCTCAGAGGGTGAGATCAATCAATGAATCAATCAGTCAATAAAATAATGGCACATGGAGTTTGCCACAGTTAGGGAGAGAGAAAGGACCAAGCATTTCTGTGAGTAGTCAACCCAAGATGAAGCTGACTGCTCACATGCCATTGCTTTGTTATTTTGGCAGAGAAAGGCCAGAGTTTTATTTTCCCCTTTTCAGCTTGCAGCTGTTTTTATAAGAGTCTTTACCATAAGCACACCTAGTAAGAAAGGGTCCACACCAGATGTCTACCAAAAGGTGGTTGGTGAGCTGGGAAAAAGGAAGTCAGAGATAAGCCCAGCCCACAGGTATGCCCTAGGTGGGTAGCTCTTCTCTCAGGTAAAGTTCACTTGCTCACCTCCATCTGCCTGAGCCCAGAGACAGACCTGGGAGTTCTTCACCCACAAGCACAGAGATTTTGTTTCAATTCTGAGAACTGAACTCAGGGCATAGGTAAGGGTCTCCATAAAGTGCCCATGAACATGTTCCCCAGTTCAGGGAAGCAAGGGAGGCTCAAGAGGCCAGGGATTTGTTTCCTCCAGGGGTGTGTCACCAGCTCAGATCCAGGCGTAGCCAGGCAGACCCGAAGCCACACAGATCAAGCTTCCAGGTATAGCTGGGAAGGCATCAGGTACATGAAGGAAGGGGAGACACAAGAAGAACACATGTTTGCCATTCATTTCACTCCTACTGATCATCTACCTATTATGTGCTGGACACCTGCCCTCAAGGAATTGATCCCCTGAGCAGGGAATATTGACAGATAAAGAGGTGACTAGTAAAAATGAATAAAAGTTTTGTAGAAGGAGAGTGAGAGAGCAGAATATGTAAAGCCTGGGGGACAGGAGTCACAGACAAGGCACCATTCAGGGACTTCAGAGAGATCCAGGGGATGCAAGCATAGGAGCCAAAAAGGAGTGTCCAAAATTACCTGTGAGAGACAGGTGCCAGAGGATGAAGGGCCATGTTCCCACACATGGGGGTGTAAACAGCTAAAGTCCTCCAAGTTCCTGCCTCTGAGCTCCAAGTGTCTAGGAAGATACTTCCGAAGCCAAGGGTTGACTAATTTGGCCAATAGCTTCTCCCCACTCATTGAAGATTCCTGGCACAAGGAATCAGTTTGTGCCTGCATTTGTATTTTCTGAAGGCCTGGAGGTTGAGTGTATTTGGGGCCATGAGGTTGCTGGGGACCCTAAAACAGTTCAATGGAAACCACCTAGGCTGAGAACAGGGGAGAGGAGGAGAGTGTTTTACTAATGAAACTTAGCTTTCAGTGAGACCTACACTCACAGGTTTTGCAGGAGCAATGGGTTGGCAAAGACTTGGGATAGAGAGTAGAAAACTGTATTTCTAACCTATTTCAGTTATAAATTGACCATAAAACTTTGGACAATTTAGTCCGTTCCTCTGGGCCCAAGTTTCCCCCTCTATAAAAGGTGAGGGGGTGGAAATGGACAGAAAATCTCTTTGGTGCATCCCAACACTAACAGTCTATGAGTCTAAGTTGAGAATGGTGTCCAGTATCTGAGCAAACATTTAACTGGCTGCTTAGAAATCTCTGTTTCCCATGTATATGATGGACATGATGGTGCCTAGTTTTCAGAGTTATTATGACATCAGATACATTAAGTTATATACTTTCTATTTTTTCTTCTTTCTTCCTGTAAAACATTATCCTTGACCTTGTTTGGATTAAAAATAAGGTGACAACTATGAACTTTCTCCCCAGAAAACAATGCACATGGTCACATACATAGACATAAAATTGCACACCATTTGAAGAGGGTCATGGAGCCCCAGAACCTGTCTGTGGGCCCTGAGATGCACGGATGCTGGGAGAGCCACCCTGGTGCCACAGGAGTGTTGACTCTCCTCCAGGAGAACCCACCACAGCACCACAGGAGCAGCCAGGTTGCTTCTCCTATCATGTCATAGTGACTCTGCCATGTTCCCACTTATAGGAGGGAGGGAAAAGACAGACAGGATATGACCAATTCTGAGTTTTCACTCACGTAATTTTTTAAACTGTTGGCACCTGCTGCAGTGTGTGCAATAGCATGGCAAAATGAATGAATGAGCAGAAACTGGACATGAACAGAGAACCTAGGAGCTGTGGTTTCACAAAATTATCTCATGCATATGGTGAGTTGGAGGGCTGAGGAGACCAGCAGTTGGAGAAGGTTAAGTGCAACCTCATTTTGCAAACATCCCTGTGGCCTGGTTCCTGAGGAATGAGACACCACTGAGGCCAGGGCACCAGAAAATGCACATAGGAAGTCCTCTGGATGCTGCTGTGCCCTAGGCTTGAACCATTGCTGAAATCTCACTCATTTCTGAGCAGAGCTGCCATGATGCTTTTTGTTTATAAACAAAAACGCCTCCTGATAATGACCTTGGAATGGAAAATTTGGAGTCCAGCCTCCTTGAAGCTGCTCTCCACACCATGACTCTAAGGAAATGGCTCACTTGCCTAATATCATAATTATGGGCCATTTGTCTTTAGTGTAATTCAGACGTCATGTCATGCCCTCCTTTCAAATGAAATTACATCCAAATTAAAGAGGCCCAACACCAAGTGATTGGTGGGCAACAGACAATATCCAGCTCAACCCACCTTAGAGCACACTCAGCTCACCCCAGCATTCAGGGCACACTCCCTGGATACATGGCTTCCATCCCTACCTTCTCCTGGTCAACCACCCACCCCAGGTCCCCAGGACATCTTGTCCAGGCCTGACCCCTGCCCAGCACCACTAGAGGGGCTCTGAGGTTGTCATGTCAGCCCAGAGCCTCCAAGTCCTTTGGACAACTCTACCTGTGATTCCAAAGACCTCATTCCACCTGCTCCTGGGCAAATGGGACCTAGTGGAGCCATCAGGTGGTCACAGGTAACTGAAGTCCAACATGAAGTCAAAGTAGAGGGTACAAATTGTACAGTGATGGTGGGTCATGAGACTCTGCCCAGGTGAGAGAGAAGACTGCAGGTGACCCAAACAGCCACCTCTCAGTGATTAAGAGCACACATAGGATTATTCTGACCTGGGTGCAAACATATCTGCTGAGCCTATTTCCTCATCTGTAGGATGGGGATTAAAATGGTACCTCTACCACAGTTATTGTTCTAGGGTCTAAGTTACATAAGGCATAGCACATGGCAGGCACACATGTTTGCTTTAATATTAAATAGACATATCTCCCTACCTATGACTTGGTGAGAATGAATCCGTTAGGAGTTCACCCCCCTCCAACCCCCAACTGCAGCAAGAAGCTGGTCCCTCGTCACTGTCCATTGTGTGAGCAGCCCTCAGGTTGTCTCATCACCTTGACTTCAAGGCAAGAGCTCCACTGGGCTGCAGGACCAAAAGCTGGTGAGGGACACAGTGGGTATGGGAGTGGCCTGACACTGACCAGCACTGGAAGGAAACTGGCCTGCCTCACCAACTGTGGACACTCAGCCACCCCTCTGGTGTGACCAGGGGCATTTGGAGATGGTGGGTTAATGGGGAGGGGTGGTCAACCTCACAGCCCCTCTTCTTCCTGGGTGTCACCGACCATACCTCAGTCAGCAGTTCAGTACTTGCAGGGTTCTCTCAGGCCTGGATCTGCAATGAACTCAGGGCTCAGCCTCTTGGACATCACCTCAGTGCTGCTCTTGCTACCACACTCACAATGATCCTGGGCCTCTGCCCCCTTCCTCTTCACACTCAGTCCCTCCCAAGGGACCTGGGCGCTGAGCTGCAGGTCAGTGGGAGCTGGTGCTGCTGCCTCTGAGCTTCCCACACACTGAGGCAGGTGGAGAACGCCCGCTGGCTGCCTGGGAGCTGCCCCGGCCCTACACCCCACATTCCAGCCTCCGAGTAGTGGGCAGCAGGACAAATGGTGGCTTCCTTACCCAGGAATGTGACGGCCATCATCAGTGTCAGTGGCACCTGAATGTCCTGCTGCTAGATGACACAGGACAGCAGGGTGAGAGTTCCAGCCCAAGTCCCCTGTGGTTGTACCCAGTCACCGGGCAGCACCCCTTGACAGCTGACAGGGTGTGAGCAGTGACCAGCCAGAGGGACAAGGCACTGTGGCCACCTTCTGGGACCAGAGTCGCAGAAAGTAAGAGTCCTCTCAGATAAGCCAGAGGTGCAGACACCAAGCTCAGGAAGATTGCCACATAAAACGTGGCACACCCGGCTAAGTGTGAATTTCAGGTACACAACAAATCATTTTCAATGAAAATATGGGACCTACTCAGTGTAAAATTTATTTGTTGTGTATCCAAAATTCAAATATAACTCAGGCATCCTGTTTTTGTTATCCTTGTTTACTTTTTGTTGTTTGCTTGTTTTGCTAAACCTGGCAAACCTACATTTGGGTAAAGAATCTAGGAAACTCTTCCAGGTGTGCTGAAGGGAGTCATAGAACCCCCACCCACCCCTGCCCCCAGGAATGGAGGCCCACCTTCCATGGAAGGCGTTTTGGAGCCTACCTGGGGCCCTACTAGGTAGACAGGTGAGGAAACCCTGAGAGGCTCGGGCTCCAACAAGCCACCTGAAAACACAGTGATGGCTGAGAAACACACTTATGTCAAACAATTCTTTATTAGTTGGCTTGTCTTCCTGCCTGGGGCAGGACCCAAACCACATCTTCCCGCCAGCAGGGCCTGGCCTGGTCCATCCAGACAGGACCCTAGAAGTCACAGCCATCCACCCAGTCACTGAGGTCCTGGCCCTGGCAGTGATGCCTCCAGGCCTCCCTGAGGATTCAGAGTGGGGAGAGGAGAAGCCAATCAGCTGCAGCTTTCAGTCCCTGCTCAGAGAAGAGCAGGAAGGAGGCTGGAGCTCTAAACCAGAAGTGAGGAGAGCAAAGGGGTTAGCAAGAAAAAGGGAGAACAGGAAACTGTGTCACATAGCAAAGAACCACCTAGAAGAAGTTAGAAAGGAACAGAATGGCCCTCAACAACGATCATCTACAAAGCCTCCTATTTCCCCAGTGGGGTGACAGAGTAATGTGTTCCAGTTCACTCAGGGATCAGTGTGAACGCCTGAGTTCTGGGGCCCAGTCTGATGCTCTTTTCTTACATCGTGCTGCCTCTGCAGACATGATGCTCCCTTTACATGACACATCACCCTGGCACATCCATCCCCCATTCACCTGTCCCCACCCTCCCTCCCAAGCCCTGTAAGGTAGATGGGGCAGATACTTTGTTCCCTGTATTCCACATGAAAAACTGAGACTGGGATACAAATCTACTTGCCCAAGTGTGACAGCTAGTGAACAACACACCTGAACCCACACCCAGTTCTCCTGGGTCTTTCAACTGTTGGTGACTATAGTTTATAGACTCAGGGCTGTAACTTGTTCCAGCGTCATGCTGGCATCATGAGAAAGATAAGTGAGATCCTGGGGCTGTGGGGACCCTTGGTCCCAGTTCCCAAGGTTCCAAATTTGATAACTAATGCTATCCCTGATGGCAATGTCAAAGGGCCCAGTGACCAGGATTGTCCCTAAGGAACCTCTGTTGCTTTATCAAACCAGCATGTTCTACTGGGTTCTCTTCTCTTCCTTTAGACTGTGAGCCCCTTGAGGGCAAGGACTTGGGTCTCAGCCATCTGCTCACCCAGCACCCAGCACAGAGCACTTCTCCCTGTGTGCACGTGGAGGGGTAACCTGCACGCTTTCCACCCTCTGGGACCACTTCCCATCAGCCTTGTCCACCTCTAAGAAAGTACACATGCCACGAGTTCACTCCAGAGTACAAAAGAGTAGTTGTTAGATTTACCCAAAAGGACCAGTGTTGTCCATCCCAGGGCAGGGGGCACCCTCAAGGCCTCAAGTCCTGGGATTCCTGCTGAGCCGGGTTCACACTTCCTGATCTGACTGACACACATGTACCACGTCCTGCACTGCCTGCCTCCCTCCACATCCAGTTCCTAGGGCTTCACCTGCTCTCAAACCTCGTATCTCCAAAGCTGAGGGCACTGTCGAGGCCCATCTCAGGCCTTCTCTGTATTCACAGCCATGTCCACCTCCTCTCCCTCCCTGACCATAGAGCCCCTGTCCCTAGGCCTCCCCACAGGTCTTCATTCCCAGCCCTTCTGCTGTCCATGCCCTGGGGAACCATCCTCATCCCGACCTCTCAGCATTCACCTCGGCTCCTGTGAAGGCTCCTACACTGCCCCCCCCTGCCTCTAGTCCCTCCCTAGACAACTCCTGCCTTCTAGTCACTTCACCAGCCTTGTCACTGTCCCATCTTTTTGTGGATCTGGTGGCACCAGTCACCTGGAGTGTCTTACCATCCACACATGCTGCCCCGGATGATCTCACTTCCAGAAATGAGAGGAAAGGCGGCTGCAGACTCTAAGTGCAGCTCCCACCAGAAGAGCTTGGTGGGCTATGGGGCCGCTGCCTGGAGGACCCTTTGTGAACCAGAGGTCTAGTCTGGTGCCCCACTGATGCAAATTTCACTCCCCAGCCCAGAAGGAGGGCTGCCCATTGTGTGGTAAAGATGCAGGAAAGACAAAGGCTGACAAGGGGAGGCTCTGGAGAGCCCACCCTGCTTCCAGTAGGAGATTAAGTATTTCATCTATTGTGCACCATGGCTTTTCATAAAAGTTAGCTCGACAAAGATGCCACAGATGAAAAACAAACAAATAAGGTTTGCTGGACACAGATCTAGTGGGCCTGGAGGCAGACATCCTGACAGAGGCAGAGCCTGGGAGAGCCCGGCCTGGCACCACGACCCCCAGTGAGGGGCTTATCCTCCCTGAAACTCTGGGTGTTGTCTGTAAACTCTTCAGGGTTAGAAATTCCTGTCACTGGAAGGTGGGCAGATGAGACTGAGATTCATGGAATGGTGCCTGGGACACAGGGGGCAGTCACAAAAGGTGAGTTCCCTCCGATGTCCCCCTAGTCCTGGCCACCTCCCCTTGGGGGATCCAGCCCAGTTACTCACCAGCTGCTCAGACCCTGGGTCTCTTGACTTATCTTCATGGCACACACAACACTGTCCTTGAGGTTGGAATTCAACAAGTCTATGGTGTGAGGCGGAGAAACACGTTGAGGGAGCAGAGTCAGAGCTGGTCATACATGAAGAATTAGTCTGTGTGTCTGTTTCTCCCCTTAAACACACACAAACACCCTTCCATCCTAAGCCCAGCCCTGTCTCCTGACCCCTCTAGAAGCATGCGTCTGGCTCTATTACTTTTGTCTTTTATCAGAAGTTATTCCCTCTCTATTTCCTTAGGTCTCAGAACAGCCTCTCACCTGGGACACTAAATCTAATTCATGAAGGATCCACCCTCAACATTTGCTTCATCCCACTCTCCTTGGTAGGACCAGCAGGATGTAAGGAAGTCCCCACCCAGAGATAAAGGCAAGAGGAGCAAACAAAATAGGAAAGAAGCAAAGGCTGGTGCAGGGCCCTGGCTTAGGCCCAGCCTACCGGTGCAGTACATGTGGCAGCGATTTGGGCCTTTCTGCTTGATATTTCTGCACCACTTCCGGCTGCTGATCTGGAAGATGCCATTGTTGGTACTTCCATCAGGTTCATGGTCCACAAGTTCTGTATCGAAGCCACTTGTGTAATAAGCTAGACAGATCCCTACATAGGGTGGAGACACAGGCCTTTGGGTCACATGGTCAAGGCCAACCCTGACCAGCTCACAGTACAGGTCCCACCTGTTAGCTCCTTTGAGCCTCAACATCTGCTTTGAGGTGGTCAAGGCACATGCCCTCCCTCATACTTGGCAGGCCAATCCACTGAGGCTCTAAGGGACAAACTGACTTACTCAAGGTTACAGACAGCTCCCAAATAGCAACAGTCAAGCCTGGACTTCAGGCCTGCTGCTCCTGGGCCAGCAATCCTCCCATTATCTCACTATTCTGCACTTAGTGAAGCCCCCAAAAATGTCTGGAATGACTGACAACTAAATCTTTCAAGGCAAGATTAAGATTATGCAGGCAGAACCTGCAGAGGGGGCTAGAACGAGGGGAAAATGGGTCCACGTGGGGCTCTACTTCACCCCAAACTGCCAGAGCTTGGAAAGTTCTGTAGTACTGGGTTCCTCAGTTTGCCCTAGGCATCCATGGGAATGCGTGACCATCACACCAAGACAAAGATTAGGGGACTAAACTGTTCTGTTCCTTTGAATCCTGACATTAACTGTTGAGGAAATGAAGGGCGATTCTGATTTGGCTGCCTGATGCCTGCCTGCTACATATTCCATCAGTACTGGGTGTTCCCTGCCTGTGACCTTATGTGGCCCTAGTTTACAAATGGGAACTGAGATTCAGAAAGCTCTTGAGGCCACACCTCTTGAGTGCAGGGGAGTGGGGACAGGAGGAAGGGGAAATAGGTGATGGGAGGGGCAGGGCCAACCAGGAAGAGGGTACTCACAGTCAGCCAGGCTGTAGCCCTCATATCCCTCCAGGCCCAAAATCTGCAGCACTCTGAACAGCTCACAGCGACTGTAGATCTTGGCTTGGCCAGGGACAAGCAGACAGCTTATCAGAGAGGCAAAGGCCAGCCACAGGACCCCAGGTGGGCACCGCTGCCGCCTGGCTTCCATGCAGGCGGCCGAGGTGGAGCCCTCACCACACTGGCTTGCAGCTGGGCTTTGGGATGGCAGGCAGCTCAGCAGTCCTGGTCGTCCTCTCAGGAAGTCCACACTTTAGGAGGATGGGGGTGAAAACCCTGAGAAAGGGGAAGGGCTGCAACCCTGCCATCCAGCCCCTGCAGCCTTGATGGAGCCTGGGCCACACTCCCCAAGATCCAGGAGAGGGTTTCCTAAGGGCAGCGGCTCTCCCTCCCACCCTGCTTTACTCTAGAAGCTGAGGGAAGAGGCGGGGACATGGGGGAGAAGACAAACACACCTTGAGCACCACCCTACATGCCAGGCATTACTGAATCCTGAGGCCCAAGATCTCACAACTAGTAAGGGGCAAAGCTCCGGTGGAGACCAAAATTTATGTGAATCCAATGGGCACAAGTGGATGTTCCCAGAGGGGATCAGCCGAGCATTGTCACGGGTGTGAAACGATCTCTAATCCCAATTGCACAGGAAATTCTCTTTCCAGCACGAAGCCTCCCTCTCCTAGCCTGACTAAAAGGAGATTCCCCAGAACACTGTCCTCTGTAGCCCTCTGATGAATACTCTTCTTTCTCCCACCCGTACAGGTCCCCTGGGTGGCAGTGGAACTCTCCTCCATACCCGCTGCCCCTTCTAAACCCTCACCTTGCAAAAGGCCCTCCTGCCTTGACGCTCAACCCACGTGGTTTGCCCCCCAGGCCCCTCCTCTCTGGCTCTGGAAGCCAGTTTCCAGTATCACAAAAAAACATTCACATCTAGTTATGGCCCCCTCCTCCACTCTGACTCACCAGCCCCTCCCATGGCCTTATCACCCCTGCATTCATCATCACCCCAATATTCCCCGACTCTGCCACCTCCCAGTCTCCCCCTAACCACCACCTCTGCCAAACCTTTCCACATCTCATGTGAACTACACCGCAGCACACTCACCCTCCACCTTTAAGGTCATAAAGCAAAACAGTGGCCTAACCTCAAGAATGTGTGACCTCCACCCACTAGAGCTTCTAGTCATCAAGGATGGCAGGGAGGTTATGGATGCGGCTTTGCTACAAGACCTGAGTTTGAAGCCCACCTCTACGATTTATGACATCTCTGATTTTGGACCCTTCCCCAGCCTCATTTTTATCATCCATAAAATGAGGACATTAATAACATTAGCCTCATGGGAGTGCTGAAAAAATGAATGAAAAAGAAAGGCACTCAGAGAACTTGGCTCTTTGCACTAAAAACAGGCTCATTGTTATTTCTGCTATGAATGAAGTAATTCCACTCGTAGTAATGCTTGTCTTTGGTCAGCTTTCTCTCTCCCGTGTCCCTCAAATAGTACTCAAGACCCTCATTGTTGTCCTTCAGCTGCCCTCCCTACAATGTCACACCTGTTTGCTCCAAAGAGACCTCAACTCCTGCCTCATCAGGGAGAAAGCAAGGCGGTCACTTGTGAACTCCCTTCCTCTTTCTGCCTTGGCCCATCACACTTACAGACACTTCAGCGACCTCGTGCACCCTCACTGCGCCCTCTGCTGTGCAGAGGTGCCACCTCTACCTTCAACAAGGCCCATATTTGCTCCAAGCTCTGGGTTTCACCTTCCTGTCACTGAGCCTTGTTCCACAGGCCACCTCCTCTCTCACATCCTCAGCATCTCCCCACACCAGCTCCATCTTCCTCTGCACTCATATGCGGACTTATGTCTCCAGCTGACAGGACACCTTCCCTTCACTCTTGTCACTCTCCACCCTGACCTGTCTCCCTCCCTTCTCATCTAAACTTCTACGTGGAAAATTACCTTTTTCTCACTTCCCATTTGTTTTTCAACCCAGTGAAATTCAGCCTCACTGCCCCCATGTCCGGGAATGGCTCCACTCGGTTCTGTAGACCCTTGTCAGGTCTGTCTGATAGGAGGCCCCAGCAGCACTCACGCTGAGGACCACCCCTCCATGCTGGACTTCCCGCCTGCCTCTCTCAGCTCCCCATGCTCCCCTCGCCCAGGTTCTCACCTTCCTCAGACTATTGCTGCTCGTTCTCCTTGTGGAATCCACTCCTGCCCAGGTCCTACAGCCTGCTATGCTTCCAAGCCATTCTATGCCCAGCCCTCTTCTCTTCCACCTCAGGAGGATGCCCACCAACCTGCAGGAGGCGACTTGATAGGACCCCTCCCTCTGAGAAGCAGCCCTTCATGCCTCCTGGGCATCTCCACTTGGAGGCCCCAGTCTCAAGCTAAGCACATTCAAACCAGAACTCATTATCCCACCAAATATCCTCTTCCCTATGTCTCCCTTCTCCTGGTTAAAAGATTCTTGGTTTTACACCATGATGTTGTTCCAATTCAGACATAGGGATGTCATTCTTCACTCTTTCTCTCCTTCACTGCAATCTTCACTCACCCAACCAGTCAGACCCAAAGCGCTGGGGATTCCACTTTCCCTCCAAGAGTCCATCTCACCACATCAGTTCACACCACATCATGGTGTGAGGATGGTCTTCTTCTTCCCATCCTAACTCTTCTTCCAAAGTACTCTACACCCATTTTCCAGCATGAAATCTTTAAACAGAAAGCCCCTAATACCGTTTGAAGGCTCCCCTCATCTCTGCTCCTAAGCTCACTCCACAGCCCCAGCCCCCATGATTTTGTCCTTCAGACCCCTCTCTCATTCACATTAAGTTCCAATACTGCCATCTGTCCACCTCATGATGATCCTGCCATCCAGCACAGAACATCTCCCCTTTCCTTTGCCTGGCTACCTCTTCCTCACACTTCAGGCGTCCCCTCCTCTGAGGTGACTTCTCCAGCAAGACTCTCCTGGCAGGCCACTGCTCCCCAACACCCCAGAGCACCCTGTGCTTCTGCTCCTCCTCTGCCACACTGGACTGTGATACATGTCAGTTTTCCCAGCACCAGGTAAACTCACAAAGAACAATGGCTGTCTTATTTCTCTCCTAAGGGACTAGCAGACTTGGTGGTACGCAGTGGCTGTTCCAGGGATACTACTTCAACAGAAACATACTGAAGTTGTGACCACAAAGTATGCACCCTTCCCATCAAGTGCAGGGAAGGGAGAGGAGGGCAATGAACTTGAGTTCTTCAAAGCTGGTGGACACTGTGCCAATGTTTTCTAGGTTGGTCTCATCTAATCCACTCAACAATCCAAGGGGGATATGATTATGATCCCCAATTCATAGATGAAGAAATGAAGTTGACTGCTATACAGAGACCGGTTTTGCTTTTTTTGGCAAAGTGACTTAAATGTAGTTTTACCCTGAGCATTCCACAGCAGCTCTCCAGTCATCAAGAGTCAGGTCAGTGGATCAGAGACCAACCCCTGCCAGCATGGCCACTCTCCCTGAACTCATCCCTCTCCCAGCATCTCTGGCCACCACCTTTCTTTTTCCATGCCCCTCATTAGCCAGACCCACTCAGGGACCTTGTCACCACATGCAGAAAGACGGGACAGAGGCTCACTGACCAGGTGTCGTTCCCACCAAAGCTGACACAGCAGTGACAGTGCCAAAACTCGGTGTAAGCTCAGACCAGCACCCCTGGTCCTGCCGGGGTCCTAGGCAATGGCCTTGGAATGATGGGGGAGGACAGGTTCTAGACTGAGGTAGCACCTTCTGGAACTTCCTAGTTCTGTGAGCTCATTTCTAGAACCACCTCTCACTCACTCAGCTTTCACTGGAGCCCCTCCATTTCAGAGACCTGGGGACATATGAGGAGTAACTAAGCACAACTTCTCATGCCCCGCTGCACACACACTAGCACACCCATGCACATGTACACACACACGCACACACAATACCTTAAAGGGTGATCTTTCTCCTCTCCACAGACCCCTCAGGTCATTACCCAGCATGTTGGCCGGGCCCACCACCTTCCCAGGCCGCCTGTCTCTCCCTCCAACTTTTCTCACTGGCAGAAGGTTCTTCTTGAACGCTGAGCCGCACACCACCCCCTTTTCTCCATCTGCATGATGACTGTTCAGTGTGGACAAGCCTGGAACAAAGATGATGCTGTTGACCTAAAGCTGGAGGGACACAGAAGTGAAATGGAAGGGCATGCGACCACCATGTCTGTGCCCCACGGGAGCCCCACAGGGAAAGCAGGTGGCACAGCAGTTAGAGCCCGGGCTTGGAGTCACCCTACCTGGGCCGGAACTCGGGTGCTGCTGCCTACCAGCTGGGTGGCCCAGGAAGAGTGACTTGACCTCTCAGGCTCCTCAGGTCTCACGTAGGAATAACAATTCCTGAAACATCCTCATACATGCTTCATCCTCAAAGCCAAGCATGAGGACTCAGAGTGCTCAGTACACAGGTGCACCCATGACTAAGAGCAGGGCCGGCCGCACACACAGGAAAGTGCACAGGTGCACCCTTTCCACCTGGGCCCCACCCCAGACCGACCCGGTTAGAACTGAGCATTGCTGCTGCAACAGTCAGAGTTTATTTTCATTCTTTCCTTCTAAAGAAACATTTTATTCTGTTTCAAACACTTACCATGATATGTGCCCTCAACAGATGTTCGAGTGTACAATGCAGCACCGCTGACTGCGGGCACAGTGCTGCCCAGCAGCCTCCTGCAGCTCACTCATGCTGCTCACCTGAGTCTCTATGTCCAGGCACTAGGAACCCCCGACTTCCCCGCCCCTCCACCCTTTGAGTCGATGAACTTGACTATTTTGGGTGCCTCACTGAAGTGACATCACACAGTATATGTCTTTCTGTCAATGGCTTTTTCCCGTAGCACAGTGTCCTCCAGGTTCATCCATGTTGTCCCATTCTGCAGAATTTCCTTCTTTTTTAAGGCTGAATAGCATACCATTGTGTGTATAAAACACACAGCTTCTTTATCCGTTTATCTGTCCATGGACATTAGAGTGTTTCCACCTCTTGGCCATTCTAAATAATGCTACACTGCACATGGGAGTGGAAATATCTCTTCTGGATCCTGGTTTCAATCCTTTGAGATAAATACCCAGAAGTGGCATGGCTGGCTCACGTGGCGGTGCTGTTGGGTGGTCTGAGGAACCTCCACTCTCTTCTCCACAGTGGC